CCCATATGCTCCTCTCTCCTCTCACGACTCGTTGCCCCCTAAACCCAGCCCGCCTGGCAGGAGGCTTACTTCTTCTCCAGGCTGTCCATGTATTCCTTCTTCTTCCTCCTGCTCTCCTGGGCAGAGATCTGGGGGGGTGGGGGTGGAGGGGAGAGACAGTGGGATTAATTCCAGCTGCACCAGGCTGCTTGCCCACAATCCCAGGGGCCCTTGGACTTGGGCTGGCTTATCCCTTTCACCTACAGCTGGCTTCCCATCACCCACCCTGTGCCTGATGGCTGGGGCTACCTGCTGGGCTGCCCCCATCCCCAATTTCCAGCCCAAACAGGTCCCAAGCCCTGATGGCCCCGAGACCCAATGGCATGTGCTGTGAGCCTATACCTCTGACTGCACTGCTGTGGGGTGTCACTGGCTGGTGGCATCACAGATAGATGCCCAAGGAACACATTTATAAAGGGAACCCCCAAACCCACGGCCATTAAGCTGAATCCACCTCACGGAGACCCCATGCAGGGGTTCCGAGACTGGCAATCTTTATGGGAGCAGAAAGCCTCATTTTTCTTCCTCAGAGCAGCTGGTGGGTTTGAACTGCTAACCTTGAAGTTAACAGCCCAGCATCTAGCCCACAGTGCCACCAGGGCTGCTGAGTGCTCAAAAGACAGTGACAATGCTGAAGGGAGAGTTCTCATCCATTGGGGTCCCAAAGCTGAGGCCCATGGGCCCAAGACCCCTGATTTCACCTCCCCAACATCAGCAGTTCCAGCAACGTCCAATGCCCCACACTGCCCTCTGGCCAGGGCATGACCACACACAAGTTGGCTGGAGTTGGTTGGCCAAGGTTGGCCAAAGCACTTAACCACTGTGCCACCAGGGCTCCGTCCACAGCATGCAAATCCAATGCTGGGCTCCACTGGCCTAGAGTGGAGAGCCAGAGGGACAGGGTCGTGGAGGGCTCACACCCTGCACCCAAACGGCCCACTCTGTGTTCCCGGCTGAGGCTCGATTTGAACCCACTGCTATGGGGTTGCCTCTGACTCACTACCGAGCAGAGCTGCCCCGCTGAGTTTTCAATGCGGCTCCTCGAGCCCAAATCCCACCAAACGACCTACCCTGTACAGGTCTGGGTGAGGTGGGGGAAGGTACTAAGAGGATTCACCTGTGAGTGATGGCGAACCCAGGATTCCCTGGCATCCCATCCTGCTGTATATAAAATGCACCCTCTGAGAAGCAAGGGGAGGGATCTCATTCCCAGCAAGAGCCAGGCGCGGAGTGCATCCTCTGGACCCGAGACCCCTGCGCAGGGACCCTTCTGGATCCAGAAGACAGCTGGGACATCAGAGGAGCAGTGGCAGAACCAGCATCCGGAGCACGGAACACAGTGTGACTGACAGGGACCCTGCAGCACGCGGAGCTGTGCGTTTCTGTGCAGGAGCCCTACTGGCCGAGTGGGATGCCTCTAGGCAATTAATTGGGGGAGTCGGGCTGGTTGCTCCACAGAAGTGGAGCTGAGTGCCTTAGGGCTGAGGCTTACTGGGATGAGGGGTCTCTGGACACTTAATTCAGGGACCTGGGTTTGCTTGCGCCACAAGGCTTAAGCTGAATGCCTTCAGAGAGGCTTGGAGCAGAGAGAGAGGCCCTGGAGGCATCCTTCAGCGGCCTTGAAGGAACTTAGTGCCCTTTCCTGATAAACTACTCTACCCTGAGTAATTTCTCCCTTGCAGTTCAACCTTTAGCTTCCTTAATAAACCCCTTCATCATGAATTTTGTCTGTGAGTTGTGTAGCCACTGCAATAACTATTAAGAGCCTAGAGAGAAAGTAGAGGGGGCTACTTAAGACAATGTTAGGGTTAAGGTTGGGGCTACCTGGTCCCTACTCATCAGCCCTGTAGGACAGGGTCGAACTGCCCTAAGTCTCTGTAGAGGCAGGCTACACCTTCTCTGAGCTTGAACCACGGCCCCCCTTACAGTGAGTAACACACACACATACACACACACACACACACACACACACACACACACACACACACGGGTGCACGCCTTCAGCACACACCTTATTCTTGATTTTCCTGCGGATTTTCTTCAGGGCCTTCTCCTCAGACTTGGTGAGCGGCAGCTTGGTGGGGACAGGGTAGCCCTCAGCCACCAGGGTCCGCCTCTCCTCCTCCGTCAGGACCAGTGGGCCGGAACCCTGCAGCTTCTGCAGACCCAGGAGAGGGTCAGTCCTCGGGAAGCCCACCCCCTGGAAGGCTCAGAGAGAAATCCACCCTGGCTGCTCCCAGGAGTAGCTGGAATACTGAGATAGAGGCAAAGATGGGGAAACACTTGGGGGCCGGGGGGGGGGGCTGTCACTGGAGGAAGAGCCAAACAAAGGCTCAGGCCAGCCCCTCCCTTAAAGGTCCCACCTGCTCAACTCGGAGAGGTTACCCTTCAGATTGGGTTTCCGGCCTCCCAGGGGCATCCAGACTGAGTGGAATGGTGTGTCCCCTGGCTTGGCCTGCCTGCCTCAGAAGGGGGCTCAGCTTTATCGGCATTTGGTCACCCCGTCAGCTTTATCGGCATTTGGTCACCCCGTCCCCACAATACAAATGTGCAGTCTTTCTACACTGAAGCATCACCCTCAGAGAGCCTGGGGACAGTCTCACCCCAGGGCACTTCCACGGCCATCTCTGCCTCCCAGCCACCCCTACCCACTCCACCAGCAAGGAACAGAGAACAGTGGCTCCTCTCCCCCAACCCCACAGACTAGGAGTCAAACAGCCTGAGCCCTCTGTATCTGAGCCCAAACACCAGCCCGCTCAGTGACCCTGCAGGACAGAGCAGAGCTGGCCATTGGGTGTACAGATGCAGACTGCCACATCTGTCTGCAGGGGTTCCAACTGTTAGGTCTTTCTCTTAGCAGCCACGTGCTTGCCCACTGTGCCACCAGGGCTCCGATTACTGTCCTACACCCAAACCAGACGCTCTGCCCTCAAGTTGGTCCTGACTTACAGGGGCCCTAGAGGACAGGGCAGCACTGCCCCTGTGGGTTTCTGAGAGTGTAAATCGTGAAGGGAGACAGTCTCATCTTTCTCCTGCAGAGTGGCTGGGGATTTGAACAGTGGACCGGCTGTTAGCCGGATGTGTAACCACTAGGCCACAGGGCTTAACAGCCAATACAGAATGAAAAGTGCAGGTGTTGCTCCTTGAAAGAAACATACAACAAAAGCTTGGACAAAGGGGTGTGGAACGTGGCATAAGTGGTGAGAGGGGGGTCAGCAGCAGATACTCACATGGGGGGCGGTGAGGAGGGGTGAGCTGGAGAGTGAGGAGGGGGCCCGAGGCCCAGCCCGGACGGAGCTGGCAGTCTGTGGCAGGCTGAAAGGGTGCAGGCACGGGTTGGGGCTCAGGCTGCCCTCTGAGTCGCTGCTGTGGCTGCTGGGTGGGGTTGGTGGTAGGTGCAGGTGGTCCACGGAGGCTGGAGGAAAGAAGTGGACTCATCCATGAAGCCAGAAGGAGAAGCTCTCAATGTGTGGGTTGTCCAGAGGCCTGACCCCCAGCCAAACAAAAACACCGCCCCCCCACAGGTCATGTGACGCACTGAGTATGCACTGCCCATGAAGCAGACCACCCAGCCCTTCTTCGCAGTCCCTCTTGGGCTGGCAGTGCCACCGACACCTGCTCAGGCTCACAGTCACATGCATGCCTGCACAGAAAGGCGGGTGGTGGCCGTGCAGGAGGTGCAGTGGCCAGGAATCGAACCAGGGTCTCAATAACCCAAAGGTCAAAGGCTTACGTCCACCCAGAGGCACCTTGGAAGAAAGGCCTGGTGATCTGCTCTTTGGGGGGTATCCTACTTCATTTCCTATGATTATATTTGAAGAGAACATTTATTAATTCTTAAATGGGACAAGGAAAAGATGACTACAGAGACACAGACTCCAGTTGAAGGAGACCACTGGCCTGTGGTCATGAAGGTATCCAAGGGCTTGCTGAGACTTGGAGCTGTATAAGGACAAGGGAGGTCAAAGACAAATGTCACCAAAGCACGGTTGGTGGCAGATCAAAACATTCTAGATAACAGTGGCACTCCCAAAGTGGGATTAGGGCCATGGTTG